TTGTGTATTCATTGTAATTTACAACACTCATATATACTGTTCAGAACAATTTAATTACTGTAATTGTAGCAAAGAAGACATGTAGAATTTGCATTCTATTACTGCCAATCTACTCTTTAATAAATTTGTTAAAGTCGTTGGGAAATTACCTTCTCAAATTCACATTTGTATGTACCCTGTCTACCTCTGAGTTGTTTTTCAATACTGATTTATAAAATGTTTCCATATACATATATATGGATATAGAGATATTAATGAAATTACTGAGTTTTTCCTACATTTCATCATAAATATTGAGAAGCAATTGGAGTGTAAATAAGAATATCCATAATTGCACAAATTTAGTGAAAAATAGTCTAAGGGAATTACATGGGTAAATTATTCTCTTGTATTTCTGTAAATTAGACTCCTATTGCTTTAAGTTTATATTTTTACATACAGATTTATTTTTGTTGTATAAGGAATGCTTCCAAATATAGTAACTTCTGTTAAAGGATATTCTCACATTAGCGCACTATAAAAATAAATGTAATGAAGAAAAGTTGTGGTAATATAAGTACATAATTGTCAGAGCATCTCTATCTTGGAACAAGTAAAATATTGACGATAATTGTTTCATGGAGTTCTTTGTTATGTATAGGGAGATGGTTGGCTATTTTTCAACATCAATAGCAAAAAGAAAAAAAGGGAAAAAAAGAAAAGAAAAGACGAGACATCTATGGATTTCATCAGAGATAGTAGAAGAAAACTTCTGTTGAATGCCTATTGAGACATCCCTCTGGATCAGTTGCTTGACAAGATAACTCATTCATAAGGCACACAGCTGTTGAATACTTGACGCTTGAAAGGCTGGTAGGCTTGTCTTGGTTGTTGTGGTTTTTTTTTCATGGTTTAAATTATTGTTTATTAGTATGTGAATAGATGTGTGCTCAACTATATACATGTGAGTACAGGTGTCTGCAAAGGTCAGAAGAAAGTATCATAACTTGAGCTGGAGTTGAAGCTTTATATGATCTGCCTGATATTGTAGATAGAAACAGAATTCATATATTCTGCAAGAACTGTACAAAATACTAATTATTGACCTATCTCTCTAGCCCCAGGTATTGTGTTTTTTTTTAAGGGGATAAAACAAGTCAGTGTGAGTAAGTGATGAGAATTAGGTGATATTAGGACACTGAGTAATAACACTGCACTTGGATAAAGGAAGGGGAGGATCAGGGATGAATGATATTACTTTATAAAATGTCAAATAAATATGAAGAATTGGTAATCCTCAGAAATGTGATTAATTATTTAATATATCCAAATAGCTTATTTAGTGATTAAAAAGAAAAGTATATTAAACATATTTGGCAGGAGTAATTTGATTACAGATGACATTTACATTACACATTCCGTCACTGAAAGAATCAAGGCAGAAACCTGGAGATCGGAAGTGACAGAGAAGCCATGGAGACACACTGCTTATGGGCTTGCATTTCTATACTTTTTACTTTACATATTAAATAAAACTGTTTTCTTCTAGCTGTTTGAAGACTTGATCAAGGTCTCAAGATTTTATTATGCCTTCTGTACACAAATAACAATATAATTTTATATCCTTTTTCTCTATTTTAAATTATCTAAATGTACATGTAAATATCTTATTTGCATTGTGAATTTTATGCGATCATTGTTTTCAGAAGGAATTGTGTTCAGATGCTTGTAGAAAGTGAGATGTATGTATTTCCCATCAATTCATCACCTGTTATTCTAATGATATAACTTTTACCTAGTCCCATTAAGTAAAATTGTAGACTACAAATTATTGATGTCTACTGTATTTACTGTCTTACATTTTTGTATTATATTCAGATATCAATGGATACTCTTCAAAAATTGAATTAACATCTAAGCTAGTGTCCTGAAATCATTAATTTACTTCTATATACATTTTGAGCCTCAAAACAGCAATGTAGATTATTGTACAGTAATGTTAATTCAAGGGTCAGTAACCACAGTTTGAAGGCGTTAGAATTCTATAGTTAATAATGAACACTTAAAGCTGCATGTTACGAAGAGGCCAGGCTAACAGACTGCTATGAATTCTTAATGTTCTTAGGCACATCAGTTTTGTTCACAGGTTGAAGCTCAACTGACTGGAGCACGCATACACCTTCAGTTTGATGATGTGAGGTACTTTATCTCAACTACACAGGCATACTGCTGTTCAATATCAAAGACGATCCAAAGGAATCATTAAAATGAATAAACATAACAATTTAAGTGTTCACTCCCCTGCCGTTTAGTCATGTCTAGACAGAACCTAGTGTCCCAGATACAGTAAAAGGAGGACAAGGACATTTATGGTTAATGTAACCTTATTCCCATGGAGACCAGAAAAGCCAATAACAAAGTAAAATGAAGAGTTTACTGCCTACTGAAGAGGTAGGTGCAGTGTCATGTCTGGCAGGACTTATGTGATTGGGGTGACAGGACCATTGTGCTTTCTTTCTTTCTTTTCAAAATTAGTTCTTTATTTTTTATTTTTATTCTTTAATCTTTTTACAGTGCAGCCTTTATCTTCCTCTCTGTCTGCCCTATGACTGTTCCTAATCCCAAACCTCCTTTCCCCACCCCCAAGAGGAGAGGATGTCCCTACTCTACCTCCACCCCACCAGATTTCCCCACTCCCTGGGGCCTCAAGTCTCTCTAGGGTTAGGTGCATCTTCTCTCACTGAGGGCAGACCAGGCAGTCCCCTGCTGTATATATGTTGGGGTCTGACATCAGCTGATGTATGCAGCCTAGTTAGTGGCTTGGTGTCTGAGAGATCTCAGGGGTCCGGTTTAGATGAGGCTACTGGTCTTCCTGTAGGGTTGCCCTCCTCTTCAACTTCTAGCTTTTCCCTAATTTAACCACAGGGGATCTTCAGCTTCTGTCCATTGGTTGGTAAGTATCTGCATCTGATTCTTTCAGCTGCTTGTTGAGCCTCTAAAAGGGCAGTCATGCTAGGTTTCTGTTTGTAAGCACACTATATTAGTATCAGGTCTTAGTCCCCTTGAGCTGGATTCCAATTTGGGCCTGTCACTGGACCTCCTTTTCCTTTTAGCTATGGTTTTTAAATAAAGGCATCATTACTGGAAGGAACTGACAGTTCTCCAAACAACATGGGGCCAATATGATTAAAGTGCTTTAAAGATGATGAAATGTCTGACTTGCATCTTATGTTTACAGAACTACAAAAATTGACAAAGCAATTATACTCAGGAAAAGCCATGTATATGTGAAAGTTAGCATGTTCTGTGTTTCCTACAACTTTTAAATTGATTTAATAGGGCACATATCTTCATGTGTATATTTTCAGCAGAATTCACGAATGTGAAATAGATTTATATGTCAAGTACACATAAATTTTAGAAAATATCCAATAGTTCCGGTTTCAGCTTTGATCCTATCATAATGATTTTTCGTATTCTCATAGTATAGTATGATTTGTTTTCTTGTCTTTCAACTCTTGTTCATTTTATATTTAGACATGCACTTGCAGATAGAATAACACTTTTAAAATTGATAAACTTCCAAAATACTGGCCTTGAATGTGATATGGGTAGTTTCAAGAAATGCTGCATGTGACATTTCTTCTATTCCATAAGCTAAGCTCAATCAAAGCAGTTCAGTTACATTGTGTGCTAGACTTCAGAAAAAAAAAGATGTAAAAAGGGTAGAAAGATAATTTTCTTTCCTCCATATCCAAAGCATTTAACTAAACTCTCTTCTTTACATTAATTTCATTTCCGAAGGACAGAATGTATGCACATGGTACATATTTGTATATTGGTCAGTGTGAGTATATGTACTTATCTGTTGGTTCCTCTATAATGAACGTATTTATATCAATCCTAGGGTTTCTAAAACTCTTAAATTTATTTTAATCTTAGGATTTTAAGACATAAAGTATTTACAAACTGAGGCACATTTTAGGTTATCTCTCTAAGTAGAAGACACCTGAGGATGGACAGGATTCTTACCTACAGCAACAAGCTTGTGAATTGCTAGCTTCTTCCTCTTGACTAAAATTACATTGCTTTGTTTCTTACTTAAATTTTCACTCATACTGAAGATTTTGACGATTGTCATGGAAATATTAAATATGCTTATGATATGTTTACTGTTACTTGATGTAATTATTTGCCAACTCTCAACAACCATTGAGAAAAAAATAAAACCTGCTTAGCTATAAGTTTTAAGGCTGTGCTTTAATGACATCTCTAAGTAGTTGTTTTGTTTGTGTGTTTTGAAGACTTATTTTTTTTCCACCTTTACTGCGGGGCTTTTAGCGGTCCCGCATGAGACTTAATAATAAAAACCTGGAGACATCCATGTGGTTTAAAGCCTAGTTGGCCATTTGCTGAAGCAATGTGTTAGCTAGCTTAACCCAACTTCTCTGCCACTGCCTGCCTTCATACAGCTCTCTGCCCTACTTTCCTGTTATGTGCCTGTCAGTGCTCTATCTGGCTGCTCCTGTCTCTGCCTGTTATTCTGCAGGTCCTCCTGCCCCAGCAGCAGCTTCCAGCTCTTTATTATGCAAAAAGCCATCCTCCTTATTCAACCAATTGGCTTTGGGAGCTACCAACTTGTCTTTCTGTTTGGGGGCAGATAAGGAAGTGACAAATATTTACACATCCTGCTATTCCTGGCCAACTCAGTTAACAGTTGGGAATACAGGGACACACTTCTTCATAGTCAGTAAATATATTTGTGGGTGATCCCAAAACATCTTATTTGAACTTTTTCTTTTATTTGGTAAAAATTAGCATTTAGGTTTATACACACTTTAAATGTTTTTGTTACAATAATAACAAAATAATAATTCGTCAATAATTTACTAAAAACCAACTGTTCTTTTGGGTCATAATAGAAGCATGATCTAATCTTGGTGATATAAGCAGTATTCATTTTGGCAGGGGTGCAGTAAGGGTATACTCAGTTTGGTGTTTTGTTTTTTGCTTTTTTTCAGTGAATTTATTGGATTCGCGCACTGTCATGGGGGACCTTGGATGGATTGCTTTGCCAAAGAATGGGGTAAGTTCTTTGGGAAGTTTCCATAAAACATACCCTTCATCCTACAAAAGTCATATTTAATGGAAATTTAATTGGATATTTTTGTTAAGAGTAGTATTTCTGTAAAGTGGGTGTAGGGGTATCTCAAATGAGTTCTGACAGAAAATTAACCAAAAGGGAGAGGTTTTTAGTGACTAAATATCAAACACATTGCTTTCCTCTCAGCATTTCTACATGCACGCATACACACACACACACACACACACACAAACACACACACACAGAGAAACAAACAAACAAAATCTTTCAGTACCTAGGAAATGTGGTGTTTTGCCATGATCACAGTTAAGTTACATAGGAAATGTAATTGACCTGTGTGCAATATTAATGAATGTAGAGATCAAATCATCTTTTATTTTCCTTCAAAACAATTGAAGCCATTACAAGAGTTCAGTTAAGTTCCCTTCCACCCAAAAGCATGTCATTAGTTCCAGTACCATTCAAATGTTTTGTATAAAATTTTGAATTTTCTTCACTGAAAACTTTACAGAAAATAATATCTTACCAAAGTATTTTTATGATTAATAGTTTATTAAATTATTTTATTGTCATATATTAAAGCAAAACATTTGAGATGATAATTAGATGCCATTTTAAAGGTGTGTGTGTATGTATTACAGAATTTATAAATTTAAAAGATTACAGGATTATCTTCCTAATTAAATTCACAAGTATGTATCAGAAAATGAAACCCCAAATTAAATATTCTTCTGTAATGTAATCATGTTATTCTTAAAAATCTGTTTCACAATTTTATAATAAAACAATTCTAATTTTGTGAGGATTTTATTAACCTATAAAATTAAGAGTTTGACACTTAAAAAATTTCAAGCAAAAGTTATACTTGACAAGAAACCCAAAATTTTCAATTGCTTGTTTTAAAATTACACTTATGGTTTCAAATCTATAAATGTATTTTATTTCAATATGCATGTTAGCAACTAATTTATTACATCATATATAGAGAATACATGAGATGAAAATAACTTTAAGCAAGAGAATATTATAAAAGTCTTGTGCTAAGAACATAGTTATCCAAAATACTAGAATGATTATTTTTCAATTAATGAGAAAACCAGTTGAAGAAAGTAGACCTTGTGCTTGTTAATGTCAGTCATCCTGACACAAGCTAGAATCATTTGAAAAGCTGACACCACAATTGAGGATTGTCTTAAAGCCAGATGGTTTCAGCTTTTCAAACGTTGGCTGTGGGCATGACTGTGGCCCATTTTCCTGATTGTTGAGTTATCTGGGAGGGCCCAGCCCATTGTAGGCTGTGCCATCTGTGCACAGGCAGTCTTAGGCTGTGTAAGTAAGCTTGCTGTACAATCCATGCAGAGTAAACCAGTAAGGACCCTTCCTGCATGGTCCCTACCTCTGGTCTTATTTGAGTTCCTGCCCTGACTTCCCTCCAGGACTGATACTAGCATATCTTAGTAGAATGAACTCTTTGCATCCCATGATGCCTAGGTCATGGTGTTTATCTCAGCAACAGAAAGCAACTTAAGACAACCCTTTTCTTGGAAAGTTACCTTTAACAGAGACAGACAGGTCGTATTAATCTTTAAAATTCCCAATAATGTGTTAATTAATATCCTTATATCATCTTGCTTTCAGACAATTCAGCACCTTCAATTTACTTGGTATTTCAAATTATAATTGCATTTATAGATACAATATAAAAAGTAATATTATGCAGATGTTAGAATCCAAACGTAACATTTTGTAAGAAAGATAAAATAGTTGTCAATATAATGCAATCTACTGTGTCATTTCTACTTTCTTACATTCCAGATTGTTCCTTTTGCTCCCATAAAGTTTAACAACTGTTCTCTCTCTCTCTCTCTCTCTCTCTCTCTCTCTCTCTCTCTCTCTGTCTGTCTCTGACTCTGTCTCTGTCTCTGTCTCTCTGTGTGTGTGTGTTATACTTTGGAATTTTATTCATAGCCAAAATGTTTTATTTATTATATTAAGTATATTAAGTGTCCTTTCTAAAAATCCGACGGAGTTATAGTTTAAAGTTACACTTTTAGAGCTCTCAGAAATTGTTATCCCCTTTGAATTCAGTTTGACCTTTTACATTTTTCTGATTGAGAATTTATTAAAACAGAACGTTGAAACCACAGTTTCGAGTTGCTCCTACGGCTGGAATCTTTGGGAGGCATGGCTTAATTTCTTGTACCATTTCCTTACAGAAAACAGAAGTCCCTGTAGAAGGACAAAGCTCTTAACAGCATTCCAATAATATTATGTCACTTTGTTCTTTTCGTTGCAATTATTAGAATAATACTCGTTTTCTTTCTGATTTTTAAAACAATATTCATTCTTTTCAGTGTGATTGTAAATTTTTGATGCATCATGATTTCTTTGATACAGTGAACCTGCATACTATTTATTCTGAAGACACAGAAGATAATTCAGAGAAAATTAGTGATTTTGTTTTTTTAAGAGTGGAGGAATGTGAGTGTAATATTGATTTGCATTTTTGTTAGGAGCTATCCATACACAAAATAATGGGAAGTGGCATTATTATTTTAAAGGAAATGAGTGTTTGAACTTAAATGAGTATAGGAAGAAGTGGACACTTGCCGAGGATGTAGGCATGCTCCAGTAAGGCTGGGGAAGAATTTGTTTCACCTGGGAGTGGCATTAAGGTTCTCTACAGAAGAAAACGAAGACAATTGCTTATGTTGAATGAATGTGTTAGCAGGCACAGAGAGTCACTTGGTGGAGATGGAAATACTTAATGGTTAAAGAGGATTTTTTTTCTTTTAAATCTGTCATGTATTGTCTATTATTTAACTAAATAATCACATTAATGAACACGCAGGAAAATATAGTGTGTTTTCAGAATTAGTTTAGAATGTAGATTAAACAAAGAAACCTCAAATCCTAAAATGTGGGAACAATTGAAGTTGCCAAAATACCATCAGAGTGCAAAGATGAGAAATGTATTATCAACATGGAAGACAAAAGTAATCACAAAAATTACATTAAGAATCCACTGGGGTCAGTTTACCAGGTGAAGGCTTTAATAAGCGATGCAAAATGTATAAAAAGACTAAAAGAAAAGGTTAGACAAATAAGACTAAGAAACTATAAGAAGTGTATCTCATTTAATTCAAAATGTCAATAGATATTGGCTGTCCTATAAAGAAACAGGTTACAGAAAGGGAAAAAAGTAAAACCTGAAATAAAGAATTCATTACAAATGTTAAACCACAGTCCTGGTCAGGCAGAAGGAGGGAGCAAACGTGAAAATGAAAACTAGGTTTTATCCTCTCTGAGAAAATGACAGGGGAGAATGAAACAAGGACACAAGAGGTCTAAGTGGACAGGAATGATATGTGAAGACTAATGAGCCGGCATAATCTCATATTTGAATCAAAACAACACACAGATTCAACAAACATAAGTAAAATCAACTCAAAGAGATCCACAGATTCAATTGAATTGTCTAAACCAAATAGAGAAAGAACATTGTAAAAGCATCATGTGAGAAACTTCATACTTATCCAGGTATTCAGAACTTTTAAAAGTTTATTATTCATTAAAAGCCCTGATGCCAGAGTTAGCCCTAGCATATTTAAGTGCTCCAAATAGAAAACAAGATTTTCAAGCAGGAAATGCATACCCAGAAATAGCAAATTTAATTTTAAAATGAATTTAGCATTTTCTCTGATTAAATAAATATAAATATCAGAAAGAAATTTCTACTAGAAATATCTTTTAAAAATGTTATAAAATGTAGAACACTATTTTTTAGAGAGAATTATACTAGTATCTCTCAAACACTGTCTTTTCTCTTCCTTATTTTACTTTGATAGAAACATAAAAATTGATAAATTACATATTTTTCTGTAAATGCACAAATGTACTTTAAAGAACAACAATTGATTTCAGAATGGTTTATTTATAGCATAATTCTCTGGTTTTATACAATGCACCCATACATCACTTGATGACAAAGATTCAGTCTAAGGCATGTTGTCCACAATTTTGTCATTTTGAATGCATTTCAGTGAGTACTTATTGAGACTGGGCTGGATTGGGTGCTACTGGACAATTCAATTTTTGGACCATAGTCATATCTACTGGCCTTCTGTTTCGTGCCTCATGACTGTATCCCAGTACAAGCACATAATTTTAGTGGAAACTAGAGGATTACAAAGAGGTGCACATGCTTAAAATTTTTGTTTTGCATATATGATACTTTTATATGAATTTGGGAGTTCCCTAAGTCATCAAAGTGCTTCCTATTCAATTATGAATACTTGAGTTTAGATCCAAATACTCATGAAAACCAAAAGAAAGCAAGACAAAAAATTAGGCACAGATTTAGATAAGCTTCCTTCTGCAGAAGAGGGGAACAAATACAGAAACCCACGACTAGAAAATGTGCAGAGAATAAGCAACAGGAGAACACTCAGCCCCAAATATGATGTCTCCAACAAAACCCTCCTTTTCAGGTTCAGGGGATTCAGCAGAAGAGGAGGGAAGACTGTAAAAGCCCATGGGAGTAGAAGACATCAAAGAAACAAGCCTTCTAAACACAACAGGACCAATGCACATGTTAACTCACAAATACTGTGGCACCATGTTCAGGGCCTGCAGGGTCTAAGCTAGATGGGATCCCAGATGTGAATCCCAGAAGTGGACACAAGCCTCTATTCTTAACAAGAGGCTATTTTATATATCTCTCTATCTCTATCTCTATCTATCTCTATCTCTATCTCGCTATACATATGTGCATATATACATATATACATATATATCATGATTATGTATATAATCATGATAGACACAGACACACACACACTCAAATTAATTGTCAGTGCTTCAAAACTGGAAGATCTTATATAAAACCTGAATGCCTATTCTCTGTTGATTTACATGTTTCAGAAAGCTAAAGGTACAGGTATTCCCACTCCCAATAGGTGCAAGCATAAGAAAGCATAACA